GAGTTCTTTGGACGCTTTCCTAGGAAGAATGTGATAACTTTCTCCCTTTCACATTTATTTTTGCTCATGCAAATACTAGTAGAACACAAGTTTAATTTGTATTGTGTACAATATGAGTATTGTGAAAAATGGTTTGTAATCTACTTCTAGATGGTGGCTAAGGAGCAGACAAGTTGCTCAGTGCCTTTTCATTGTTAAAACCTTCTCCTGGAAGCATCCAGTGACATCAGTATGGATCCCAATGAATGAATGGGAATGAGGAAATTATAAAGTATTGGAGGAATTCTGCTTGCAGAATTTTGCAGAAACAGTATTTTCATCTGTCCTCTTGGGGGAGACAGGGGCCTTATTGATGTAATAGACAAGATATTCAGAGAATGGGAAAAGGAACTTCTTATTCAATAAGTGTTAAGCTATATCAGCAATTTCTTCATGAAGTTGCAAATGGACCTTGCTGATGTGAGGAAATAATAAATTCTACCCAATGGTAAGGTAAAAAGATCTAATCCTCAGGAAATAAAACAAGCAAAGGTGAGAAAAGTCTGTAACATTAACATTGTTTGAATATCACAAAAACAATTGGATAGAGAACAGATAGAACACCATCATTCCTCCATCAAAACTAGAGATTAGAAGCACATAAAGTGAAGTAAATGAAGAAAAAATCAGTTTGGTTGAACCTCTGCACATATAGAAGTTGGTTTTCAATGTATAAACCCTACCTTGCCTGCATAAAAGGGATTGCAAGATTGGGCAATGTATTTAAAATATTTATTGGACTTTCAAGAAGCAGGAAAGGAAGAGTATTGACTCTTTTGAACTTTAGTGTTGTAGAAGATTTCTGAGAATTCCATGGACTGCCAAAACACCAAACAAATGGGTCATCAAACAAATCAACCCAAAGTTCTCATCTGAGGCACAAACAACAAACTCAAATTATCATACTTTGGACACATTGTGCGAAGACCTAGCTCTCTGGAGAAGGTTGTAATGCTGGGAAAGGTGGAAGGAAGTAGAAGAAGAAGAGGACAACCAGCAGCAAATTGGATAAATTCACTTACAGTAGTGATGGGGACACTGTTGGAAGACCTGAAAAACCAAGTTAAGGGCAGATCATCATGGAGAAAATCTATCTCTGTTGCTAAGAGTCAACAGTGTCTTGATGGCACATAATCAATCAATTGAAATATTTATATTCTGTTTGGCACCCAAGATTGGTTCCAAAAGCAATTTGGAACAACAATTAAAAAGCCACCCCCAAATGCAAGGGATTAAATTCAATGGCAGTAATAATTAGGAACAAATGAATAAAAGACGAATGATAGGAGGGTATCCAAGGAAACCTAGAATGTTTGGATTTTGCTCTGAGGTCGAAGTAAGGGTGGTGATTTAATAGCTGGCCTTATGGCTGTAATAAAGATTTGGTTTGATCTGAAATGCGACTTGGAAGGAGAAATCAAAATGTTGACAACCTCCTCCTACTGTTCTTCCAGCCTCAAATACTAGAGGAAAGATTCACATTGGAAGTGATGAACCATGAAGGCCTATGACAAGATTGAGAAGCTTTCCAATTCCTCCAGAATACTCTTAAACCCATATGTAATCTATACCGGTGTTTCTCAACCTCAGCAATGTTAAGATGTGTGGACTTCAATTCCCAGAATGGCTGGCTGGGGAATTCTGGGAATTGAAGTCCACACATCTTAACATTGCTGAGGTTGAGAAATACTGATCTATACCATTTTGTGGTTATTTATACCCCACCCACCTTCACTGATTGCAATGAAAGGGAATTCTATCAAAAAATAGATCCAGTGAGAAGATGAAGCAGCACAAATGCCTCTCCTGTCTCTGTTCTAACTTCCCAGCATGAATCCAGCAGGCTTTTGAGATGTTAGAGGCTCCAAAATTGAGATATTCCAAGGAAGGAGTTAGAACTGCCCTACCCAAATGATGCAAATTAAGATCCCTCTGCTCTTTTTAAAAAGGAAACAAGGGTGTAAATATGACTGTGTGCTGATATTCCAAGTCTTCATCATAACTCCTCTGTTATAAGTACTGCTCAAAGTTCATTGGAGTCAAATAGTGCATAATCTCATTTAAAATCTGCATTTCCAGTCCTGCTTACATTATATTTTATAATGTGATTTTGTAACCGTTGTTCAAGAGGTTCTCCGTGTGATCATCCAAAAAGTTAAAACGATGAGAAAACCAATGAAGGGAAGCGTATAATAACCTACAGAAATCTATTAAATAAAAACCAATCAGCAGAAGAACATCGTCATCACCATGAAAATAGCTTAATGCAATTTAACATGAATTAAAGAGAAAATGTGTGTGCATCTGTGTTTAAAGCACATTCTGCATTACAGTTTAATCTAATATATTTCCATGCCAGATAATTTCAAATTTCTGTTTCATCTTTAGCTGGGGTACAAACATGCAATGTTTCCAGTTATGCAGAAATCTCGCTTGGGCTGGATGTACATTTTGCTCATGCTTAGTCTGTTGAAAGCAAAGGGCGCTGGGGAAAAGAGAAATATTGTCTTTGGAGCAGCAGGACTGGGATTTTGGACTTAAACTGCTACTTTCTTTACTTACTGCTAGGGGTTATTTTCATTGGGGGCTTGTCTGCCAGTCTTCCTGTTCTCAATCTCCATGCGGTGGTTGGAGTCATTTTCATCCATGAGCTGGAAAGAGAGGACTTTAAGGATACTTTCCCTTTCTCCATGGATGACCATGGTAAGGATCTCAAACATTTTCTTTTGTTGTTGCTCTTTCTTTCTGTCCCTCCATGAGTTTTCCCATCTATCGCCATATGAGCAAATCACAAAGGTGGCTACAGTGGGACAGAACCTGTACCCTGCCTGCTGAACTGAGCCATTCCCACTTTTTCTATGGTGAAGAAGTCTCCTGTTTTTTCTGGAGCTCAGAGTGCTTTGGAGGTCCTTCTGGAAGTGGTTTAGAGCAGGGATGGGCAAACATTGAGGGATCAGGGGCTGTATTTCAGCTGCTTCTTTTTTTCCAAATTAATTGTGTTATTGTATTATAAGATGCAAATAATACATTATATTATCAAGGTACAGTGGTATTTATACAGTATTGACTAGAAATTGTTAACATTATGATGATTTAGATAACTTAAGGGAAAAATTATTAACTATGGTTTCTGAAATGTTTTTATTTATTTATTTATTTATTTATTTATTTATTATCAAACTTGTATGCCGCCCATCTCCC